CTGGAAAGTCTCAGTTAAGAGTAGAATTGGTTTCTTTCAGGCTGTTGCCGCAATAATCTTCTTATTACTGGGGCTCAGCAATGTGAAATAAGTAACTATTTTGGTTATGAGGATTGCAATAAGTGTCTATAGGGTCAGGATTTTAAAATCTTAAGCATCCAGGCTTAGAGGGTGCGTTTGGAAAGGGAGGAGAGCAAAACTCCACACTCCCCCTCTTGGTTTTCCCATCGAAAGAAGCCCTACTTTTCTCAAAGGTGGCAGATGAAATCAGTGCATCATAGCACAAGTCTGCTGCCCTACTACTCGCTGCCTTGGGGATGCAAAGGACCCCACAAGCTCAGAGTAACTGCGCCAAAGCTTCCTTCAACCCTGCACACTGGTAACTTTGAGAATAAGCCTCCCATGGGATGATGTGAATTCCCTGCTTCTGGGATAGACAGGCTTCAGCTTTGCTCCCTGAGGGCACCTCTTCCTGTGGCAAGAGGAGTCCCAATCTGTGCCAGTTCTCCCTCCTCAATGCCTGCAGAAGATAAGTCATTTGGGAAGGCAGGTGAGGATTGCAGTGGAAGAGCTGTTGTTTTTGGAAGCTTTATAACTTTCTTCAAAATGCAAAAGATACATGATCAGAAGACTTCATTTGTAGCCATGATCTCAGCCTGGCCAGGCAAACATCAGGACTGCTGAGAAATGATGCAGCGCTATCGGACATTAGCAGAATACTTTTCTCCCATAGCTTAAGGACTTGCTCCAACTTCCTATTTACCACAACTGGTCTCTAGTGTTCCCTTAAGATCACAAGGAGGAAATTGTAGGACTACTGAAGAACGACCACAGAGAGAAAACTTCTGGAGGAGAGACCTGAACTCATGCACCTGGATGCAAAAGGTCTTTTGCAGTTACTCCACAACCTTGCCCTGCTCAAAATGGCCAAGAGAATCAAACATTTAAGGAAAAAAAAAACCACAAACCCAACCTCAAAACCTCCAAAGCTCTTTTCAAATATCCAGGGGCAAGTTCCCATGATCCCAAACAACTCCATTTTCTGAAAGCTTATGAGCCATACTTCCTTATGGGCACCGACAGTATTGTGTGTGTGTTTCTGACAGTTAAGCCAAACCAGAGCAAGGCACTAGCAGAGCCCACCCCTTTGCATGTTAGTTCTTACCTCACACACAGCCCATGGTATCCCTAGTACACAAACAAATAAAATCCCTCTGTAAACACCATAACAAGTATTTGAGCACACACTATTAAAAAACCAAACCAAAACAAGGCCATCCACACACACCCTTCCCAAACAAGGCCAGATAGGTTTTAAGTCTACGGTCTTACCCACGAAGTCTGTCCAATAAAGCCATCGGCTTGTTGAAATCTCAGCCTTCACTTGCATTTTAATGAAGGTCTGAGTGAAGCTGACTAGAGCCAGACATGTGTTTTCCTTCAGAAATTGTACACTAAGGACTATAATATGACCGCAGCTGTATCAGAGCTTAATGTAGAAGTATTTCTAAGTTACCAGATCATAACCGCAAGCACTTAATCATGCATCTGGAACACAAGTTACTTACGTATAGAGCCAGCTCCATGCACTGCTCCCTGCCTCCTCCTCCAAGTGGAATTTATATTAAATCCCCTAACTTAGGAAGGACTGCTGGTTTCTCCATCAAAGCTGCCTACTGAAGCCATAGGAGTGGCACAGCACCCTGTTAGATGGCATTACAGTACTGCTGAATGTGAACAGAGAAAGGGAATAGGCCTAAAGTTGGAGGCGAGGGCAGTATTTGTGTTCATTTGGAAGGGGTTACACGGGGTTTTTTTGGTAGTCATATTCAATCTACATAAGTTGCTGAAGTTTTCTGTTTTCATTAACTTCCTTACCTCAGCTGTAAGTTCCTGGGTGCATTGGTTCTAGTGTCAGAAATAACACCCCAACTGCAGAGTTGTCACAGGGGAAGCACTTATGGGCACCAGACACCATCTGCAGCTCACATTTCAGGACCAGATGGACTAATTAGACCGGATGCTGGCTTTAGCAAGATCTGTAGTTATTTCTAGCTAGCCCAACTGAGCTTAGAGTTTACAAAAAGCAACCGAGAATGGCACTGGCTGGAGACAGGGAGAGCAGTTCTTACTTCCCTATTAGGCTTCAGGGCAGCCTTCAGCAGTGCCCTGGGCCATACTCCATCATGTTTCGCCAGCAGAAAAACCAAGTAACTGAGTAACTAAGCCTCCAATTACCTTCACTTCTGACATACCTTGGGGTAAAGCACACCTCAGTAATCCAGCCTATCACCTTTCCAGTGCAGTACTATCACAGCTACTTCCCACCACGAAGACATGGGAATATTATCTGTAGTCCAGCACTCACTGCAATTTAACTGCTTTGCTACTAACATTGAAACTGAGCCAATTAAGCAGTTTTAAAACCTATCACAACTTTAATTTGCAAGACAGAAACGAATGAGAGTGCAGATCTCGCACTGCGGCAAAGACTTCCAGTCCTGTAGTCGTCACTAGCAAAACATCTGGTGAAGCTGAGGGATTGTACCTCCCTTGGCACCTCTGCTCTTGCCCTGCTGCCTCCTCACTGCTGCTGAAATTTGCTTGGGTCAAGAGCCTCCCAGTTTGGTCTCTCCCCATTCATGCTCGTGCCAACAGGAGAGCATTATTTTTGTACTTAGTCAACTTACACGGACTTTTAAAGCATCACTGTACAGAGGCTGCTCTATTTTCTAATGAAGTCTTTAAATTATATTTTTAATAAAGTGTTTTTAAATCTGTCTGGGAATTTCTCCTCTAAAACTGTTGCCTAGCCTAACACACAAGCAGTTGTTTGAGAGAGGCCTTTCATGCAGGTGTTTCCAGCAGTAACAGTTGTTCATTCTGGAGACTCAATACGCCACTGGAGAAACTGAAGAACTGTGCAGAAGCCTGCATATGCCACTTGTCTCTCACAGCTTGGTTTTGGCACTTCTCTGTAGCCCTTCCAGAGGCTGGACGGTTGCCAAAAGAAAATAGTTGTAACGTAAGACTGAAGAACAGGGGAAAGAGGTGAACCCCCCAGTTCACGATCTGGATTGCCTTTTAACAGGAGAGCTCCCTTTCAAATCAGCTGGAATTGGTCATAGCAACATGTCCTGTTCTCCATACCCTGCATTGTGTCAGGCAGCTTACACTACGACATTATGTCTGCTCATAAGCAGAGGAGGGAGGTGGTTGCATTCAAAGGGGTGGGACACGAGCAGGAAGAAGTCTTTTCTTGTAGCTGAAACATTCAAACAAGCTAAATGGCATGCCGTGTACAATCAGGAGGTTTTACAGTATGAACTATTGACTGACATTTGCCTATTGATACACAGACAACCTCAATGTAGTGTGAGTAGTGGAATGTGGTATCAAAGCAGGTGGCAGAAGCACATGCCCTATGTATAGATATGTCCAAATGAGATGTAGATAATTACAGCATGCAGAAGTATCCATAGTTTTTAAAAAAATTGTAGGATGTAAGTGCAAGTCAGCCCAGTTTAGTTTTAACAAATCAGTCCTCTGTAGTGATACTGCTAAAACAAACAAACAAATCCATTTCTGCAGAGCATCAAAAATTCAAATGCATTTACAAGAATAGTTTTCAACAGAAGTGTTTTTAGCCATGGCAAAATCTGAGCTTTCCAAGAAGGGAAGTTTTGTAACATAGGTTATAAATAGGGGAGTTTTCTGACCAGCTAGAAGAAACTCAGGAACGTAAGAAAGACTTCTGTACCACGAACTTAGAAGCAGCCCAGCAGCAGTTACTCAAACTTGTTTCAGAAAGCATGTTTGTCCAATAGTCATTTCCCAGAAAACAGTTACTCTCCAGTTTCAGAGCACAAGCTTTTTCTGTTGTAGTTCAGACTAACTATAGTGACTGTAAGGTTTCAATAAGCTTATTTTGCTATGCAGTAATTTTATTTGTTTATTTCTCAGATTGTACTTGGCCAAGAAAGAGCTCAGCTAGTCCTAAGTCCAAAGGGCCAGGTTATTTCCAACAAATAGCAGCTGATGCTGTTCCATACACAGCCTTGTATCAAAGCTTGCTAAAATGCTCTGCAAACTGGATTTAAACAGCAGCCTGCCACTGAGTGGCCTCTATCGTGGAATTACAAGTAGAAAAGTCAAAGTTTCAATTCAGCAATAAAAGGATACAGGTTTGGCCCCAAACCAATCTCGTTCTTAAAGGAACACAATGACTCTAGGTTTTTTACAATCACTGCCTTAGCTGCACCTAACACATCATCATCAATAACAGCTCAGGAAAAAGGAGCACAGAGCACATCCCAGACAACTTTTGGTAAAAGCCTCTCATTTAGTGGGAGTGATATAAGCAAATACATATGTCAAAGTCGTGACCCTTTGATTTAAGCATGATCTAGCTATCACTTTATTCCTTGAAACTCGACTCTCCTCAATTCCAGAAACTACTGGGAAAGAGAGAGTGTCTGATGCCTAAAACTTCAGCCTTTCATTTTCTCTTCAATGCATTCTGTATTTTAAGGTTCTTACAAACTGACAGGAAGTTTCAGCAAGCCACATAGATGAGTTCAGTTACTGTTACTTGTGTTTCAAGGATTTCATAAACGTCCTGAGAGCTTGACAACATCCTGGAACATTCG